GGAGGGGGAGGAGGAGGAGATTGATTTGGTGATGGGGAAGAAAAATGCGATGAAAGAAAATATCATAAAGAAGAAAAGCAGGAGGAAGAGGAAGAAGAATAAGGGGATTAAAGATGGGGTTAAGGTGGAGATATGCGCTTGGCAAAAGGTAAGTCTTCTTTACTCACGATCTCTGCTTTTTCTGTGTCGAGAATATTTTTTTTTCCCCACTTTCTTTTTTTCATATTCATCTAATCAGTTTTAAATTTAATTTGGCGTCCAAACCGGACACAACGCACAGTACGGCATGAAGGTATTTCGCAGGAACGTGTTTCCCGTTTGCGAATGTTTATCTTGTCTTTTTCTTTGAAATTTCCAGTTATATTTGGGTATTTGCATCATCGTTTTGTGTAGTTATGATCGAACTGAGGACGGATAATCGTTATTTCATGTGATTATTTGCGAAATAATCGGGCAGGATCTTTGTTAGTGCGATATTTTTGAGTTTTGGAACTTTATTTTTGTTAGTATGGTTGGGTATTGGGCGAGTGATTGATTTCGGACTGTCATCTCCAACTTTTTGTGATATGTTCTCCTAAAATAAAGGGATATAAGCAGAGATATAATATCTTAAATCTAATCATTTGTTTCAATGGTTTTTAAATTTGAATCTTGCAAACCCAAATAATAATAATAATAATAATAATGACTTGTTATGCAATTTATTTTCGTAATTTGTTTTACTCTGTAATTGTTGCTATAGTCTGATTTTCTATATATCTTTTAGCATATGTGCTGCATATTTGCTTTATTTCTTAAACTCTGATTTAATTTTGCTGCGATATTTGAGAGTTATTGTTACGACGGACCCTTGCAGTATTGTTTATTCCTCCTCGCATGTGATAATGCATGTCGTCAACATATTTATGACAATGTTTTGATTGGGTGTTGCTGTTGCTGTAGCTGTAATCCCACCTAATTTGTGCGTCACCAAGCATGCAAACTTGTATAAGAAGCAAGCTTTATTGCTGCGCGAATGCTTTGTTTTTCTTTTGAAGTTGGTTATGATCATTAACAATCAAGAATGCAAACTCATACACTTTGATATATTTATGCATTCAGTTGAGGTGGATGCATTTCAAATTTCTATTTTTCAACGCTTTATAGTTTATACTTCGTCTTGTTTTGAGAGCATTTTCTACTTGATTATATCTGGTATTATAAACTCACATTTGGGAGGAGATATAAAGCTTAATCTAATGGGACCTTGTGTTATTTAGTACGTACGATGAAAGTAACGTGTACTAGTACTAACATATGCCTTACATGGTTTAGATCATCAAGGGGAGATTTTTAAACTAAACTTAGAATAAGTTTGGATTCTGGGATTTCTATCTAACTGTATTGTTACTTGAAGTTTGGTTTTTGTTGTCATGAATTTAAGGCTGAAAATCAACGAAGCCGTACTATTGGGTACAAACAAAATTTAGTGCTTTCTCTGTTGGATAATTTGGAATTGTCAAAAAAATTTGAGGTATTTAGATCGTGAGAAAAAGAAAGTAGGAGCGAAAAGACATTCTTATTGGTATCTTCTCCTACGATAATTTTTTCTGTAACATAAAAGATATAAATAAAAATCACTAGACTTTGAGCACCAACTATTGTTTAATTATATATATAGAGATTTTCATTAGTATTCACAAATTCTCTAAACCATATGTTGTGCACTTCTATTGGTATCTTCTTCTACGGTAATTATAGAGTATCAATTTCTCCTTGTTATGTCTCTTAGTTTGTGTTATTTATCAAGATGAATTGAACATGCCATAAAAAAAAAAAGTTAGCACTGCATAAATCAGAAAATGAAAAATAATATTTACAAACTCAAGTATCCCCATCAGATGCAATATAAGTGAGTAAAGTGGGTGTCTCAGCGCACGTTAGCTGCTCGGTAGAATTGAATGAACTAGCTTGATATATTGATGGGGGTAATGGTGAAGGGTGATGGCTGTGGTCCACATAATATATGTGTGAGGTGTAAATGAATAAAATAGAGTGGTATCGATAGGACCTAACGAATAATATATAGGTTGATGGAGTGGTAGGAGATGATTAGATCAATGAGGAGGTCGTGATAGTGAGAGTAATAGTGGGGCTAGTCTGACAGTTGGGACATGATTTAAAGGTCTCTTTTTCCTCTTAAAAATAAAAATGATCTGCATACGAGCAACGCCATCCCCACCACCTGATGCCATCTATAATAAAAATAAATTAAATGATTAGAACAATAACAAAATATTTTAACTATGATGGTATTTAGTAAAAACTTAAAGAAAAAATGTCTAACTACAATGCACATGTCATTTAATTTCATCAGTTGAATTACTATAAGTTGAATTTAAAATTCTCATCATCGTTATCATCGTATTCATAGTTATACTGAATAACTTTGTAATCATCATTAATATCTGGTAAATTTATCACTAACTAAACATCATAAATTAGAAATTTGAAATATAATCATATTTTCTTTTGATGATGAGCAACGTCAATATTATTTTGAATTTTAACTATTGCTTAGGTTTAATCTTAAGTACGACACCCCATTGTATTTTATTCTTCTAAGATATTTAAGGTTATACATTTGAGTGGCTTTATGAATTGAAATGAAGAGATTAAATTTTACACGTCTTTTGTTCAATTTTACTTGATATCATTCACATAAAAATTGATCTTATATTCACAATTTGGATTGGTTCCCAAATATGGTTATGCATGTCTCGATTCTTCACTTTATTATTCCAATCATGAACCTATTACATAGAGCTGTAAAAAATTGCAGCCAATGAATTGAGCAAAAAAATAATCAAAGTTGGTATAGCTTGAGAATTCATTTTCAATCTTTTTATTAAAAGTATTAGCATTTTTTAAGTACAAAGTGCTCATAAATAACTTGAAGTAAATATTAAAATTTTCATAATAGATCAGATAAATATGATATATGGGCCGTATAAAAGAATTTAAAATTTTAAAATAACTTACTTAAGAAAGGCTTGAACTTCATCGTTCTTGAGAACATATAATGTTGCTGTCTTGAACTCTTTATTAATCTAATCTTCTGAAGTGCACGCCTATACGTGATGTTTTCTGATTATTGAATAAAAAAAACCTTGTGTTGATCGGATCTCCTAAACCTTCAACATCATCATTTTTTTTATTTGGCTTAAAGTAACTAAATGAATAGAAATTAATACACTACAGGATATATTAGCATCGAATTTACCTTATAAATAATTTACCTTTAAAATGGGGGTCGATAAAAAGCACTGAAAATATCTGACACATATTTTAAGTCAAACTTTGCTTCTGTAAATATCATCGTTAACCAGTTTGGTAGATTAATGGCCGACATAGGATCAACATGGTTTTTTGCTTCCACCTATGTTTGACAAAAATCTGCATCGACTTATGTCCGAGACACATTTGCATCGAAATACCGTCGATGAATATTGAACATCATCGTTTGTGATCCTACGAATAGTGTCCGACATTCCGATGCTATTTTGACATAAACTTGTGATAAATAAATATAAAAGAACGATTAAATTTTCACAAACCCACACACAATAAATTCAAATAGGATAATGACTTATCCATCATCACAACTCAAACATTACATCACTAACAAGTGCAAACAATGATAACAAATATAATTTAATAAATATGGATCTAAATGTATGAAGTCCACACCCACACAAACTAAGGGCCTGTTTGGGGCAACTTATAAGGGCGACAGCGTTTTCAAAAACGCCGTCTACCCGTTTGTTTCGCACGTTTCATAGAT